GTGGGTGGCGCGAATGCGTCGAGACACGGCCTATGCAGCGCGTCGAGCTGGCGATTGTACCACTGGCAAAGGCCGGCGTGCCGAGTCTCTCGAGAGGCCACTGGCGTGACTTCGACTATCGAGCGAGGTGGAAGACCCGTTGGAATAAGCGCTGTGCGGTCGACGAGCTTCATCTTCTGCCGTCCATCGAGCAGGCTGCGGGCTTCGAGGTTTGATCATGCCACTTTGAGGAGGGGACAAAGCTCTCCGTTTTCGCGCAGGACCTCCAAAAGGCTCGACTTCCTGGTGAGCAGAGTAGTTCGGCGCCTCCTCCTTCATCTGATGCATCTGAGGTGGCGCTTGAATGTATTGCCCTTTGCTTTTGTCCGCCTCGAGCATGCGCAGGTGCTGGTCATCGCCACCAGACTCGGAGCCGTGATGGCTGATGACCTCCATGGAAGGTACCCGGATGGATGCTCGCAACTCTTGAATTGTGACCCCAGGTCCGTCTGGCGCTTCCTGCTGGCGCTTCTTTGCGAGTTTGGCGTAATGCAGCCCGCCTGGCAGATGGTATGCCAAATGGCGTCAGCGATAGAGCCTCCAAAGCGTATGCGTCAAACCTGCCTCTACTCACAAGCATTGCACACAGTCCGAGGGCCATCCGGACCTCTTCTCCATTCTGGCGTGTCGACGATAAAGCAGCAGCCGCAAAGGGCGGGAGCGGCAGCGCGGCTTCGTTTGCGGTACTTTGCGCTCGGCTCCTGACCTTGAGCCGGCATGCGCTGAAGAGCCGATTCGTGGCTGATTTCCTCGGGCTTGTACGACGGGTAGCCCGCAGCTGGCGGATGTCTATGAGCACCGGTATCGGGGTAGTCCGCGTGTCGACTATGGTGGTCGTTGTAATGATCAGGGGCAAAGGATGACGCGCCCGAATGCGCCTCGTGAGGCAGCGCTGGCCTGGCATCATCACCCCGGCCGTGCAAGCCGTAAGCCGGATGCGCCCCGTACACTACGGCGCGTGGAGGGTAGTCATCGTAGCTCGTGTGGCTCCTCTGGTGTCCGTCTGGCACGCCTCTTGCATGTGCATTGACAAAACGTGACTCTTCATTCGGATGGACGAGACGAGAGCCAGCCATTTCAGATGGAACTCGAGCATCCAGCCAACGGTCTGCAAAGTCGCTTTGGCGGCGTGACATCGCTGGCTCTTGCGGATGCCCTGCACGCTGCGCTGCGAGCCACTCCTCGGCCTTTGCATCTCCTTTGCCGTTAGCTGAGGGGACAGGTGGCTCAGTGACCTGCCCGTCTGATTTGCGAGGTCGCGAATCCCAGATGCTTCCTTGCGGTGGTCGGAAATGTGGAGGCGACTGTGGCGTCGCTAGAGCGCGCCCGGGAGGTGGCAGCGACGACGTTGGCGCAGAGCTGATGACAGGGGCACCTGCTCCTTGCCTCATTTGGCCTCCAACGTGGTGGTCGTGATCGATCGAGACCAGTCTTGGGCCATGTCTATCGTGCATTCCAAATGTGCCGCTGGTTGTTGGTGCTGGAATGTTCACGGTGCGGCGTTGCGAGGCGGTGCGAGAGTCAGCAAGAGGCCTCTGACCTGCTCGTCCGTCCCTCGCACTAGCGGTCTCTGGCTCACCATCGCGTTCTGCGCGCTCTTGATGGTGGGGAGCCACGTGCTGCGCTCCGCGATCGTCGTACAGCTGTTGTCCTACGTGCAAGGATCTGATAAGATCGTGTATTCTCGTCGAGTGATTGGACATTGCGTGTGCTTGCGCTTTAGTCGGCTCGCGTGACGCATCAAGCGAGTGCTGTGCCGCGTGGATCAGACGGTTGGCGTGCTCAATGATCTAGAGAGAAAGGTAGCCAGTGCCTTCATCAGCTCAGGGTGCGCACAGGTTGCCTTTGCGAAAGTACACTCACCTCTTCCAAGCGGTCAGCAGTGCGTGCACCCAAGTCGTAGCGACGAAGCGGTATTTGTGGAGCCGTGGCAAAGCGATCGCGGAGAGGTCGATCAGAGACATCGGCCATAGAGATGTCTTCTTCGGTGCGCGAGGCCGATGCCTCTGCATGGCTGTGCGCATCCAAAACACGTCGAGCAGAGGCTTCGTCAAAGGTGGAGAGGCGATCTCGAGGATCGGACTCGACATCGTGAGGTTCTCGCACAAGCATTCGCTCGTCCATGGATCTAGGCGAGTGAGGCGCCCGCGCTGCTTGTGTATGAGTTGGGCGATTCGCAGTAGTAAGTGGGTCTTGTTTCTCGTGCTGGCCAAACGACGCGGCTGCATGCTGCATTTGGCGACCGTCGACTGACATTGGTCTGGAGCCAGCTCGAGGGGAAGCGTTTGATTTCGGCCCAGACACTTGCGGCTCAATGGCTTCTGGCTTGCACAATACGCTACCGCTACTGCTTGGGGTGCTCGCCCTAGTACCAAGTAGCGGCAACGTGGGCTTTGCAGATGGATTAAAGAGGGGGTCGCTCCGAGATGCAGGCCTGGAACCGCTCAAGAGCTCCTTCGACCCTGGCAGAGAAGAGGGGTCGACGTTGCGGTTGAGCAGCAAAGGCGGCAGCTTGAGATCTGATGCCGAGCTCATTCTGGACGCTTCCGTGTCAAAGGGCCCAAAAGATCCTGGGACTCTATGAGATGAGCTGAAGCTTTGTGAGAGTGCAAGCATGGAAGTCTAAGCTGCTGTGAGTGGTTGGAATGCTAGTTCCGTGGCCGGGTGGCGCTCAAACGGAAAGCGAATTTATCTGTCCCGAAACTTGAGTGCCACGGCGCAGCGATGGGGATGTTGCCAGCGTACGTAGTCGGGTAACGGCCGATGATGGCGCCGAGTAGAGAGTGTGTATGCGTCGAGACACAGGCTGAATGGTGCGGAGCTGCGAGGACCGAGGCTGCTCGTCGTGAAGGGCCGCTCAACAGTCTCAAGTGACGAGGATGTTTGGCGCCGCACAGTGCCGGAGATGCGGATAGATTCAAGATTGCGCTTTCCAGACCCGATCGCAATCAGCCAAGTCAGTTCTCTAAGCTTGCTTCAGTGCCTGTCCTTGTATTACGGGCAAGGGAAAGCCGCTCGATATATGGTCCCGCGGATTGTAGGTGTTGCAAATCGAGGCGCACAGTGCTGCCTTGATGGCGGCTGTGCTCGTGACTGCTGCCGCAGATTTGGTAATCGTGTCAACTCCTTGCGACCAAGAAGGTGCTGAAGGGTTTTCGGAGTCTGAGTGTCGCAGTGCGTTGGCGCAATCTGCGAAGCTGTAGCTTGGCAGGCAGACCCAGCAGCCGCTCTTGAATCAGTCAGATCGCGTCCGTGATGCGGTGCCGTGCAAGCGCTACACCGACGGCGGAGTGGTCGCGGTGCAGACGCTGAAAGGTGAAAGGTGAACTTGGCAGCCCACGTAGATTGAAAGAGGGGCAGATCGCGTGGCAATTAGCGCAGTCAACTGACAGGTCGAAATTTAACGCTCCCGTGGTTCAAAGGTCCCGAGGGGGTGAGAGATGATGCGTGATTGCAATTGCTGGATGAGCGCCGCACACCCAGCGTCTTGCAAGACTGCACAATGTCCTGATGAGTGAATTCGGGGCCGGGGCGCAGTCACAGTGCAGGCCTCAATTTGAAGTGGTACGTTGCAGATGCGCGGTGTGTTGTTGTTGTTATGCTGGTGACCGATCCGATCGATCCAATAGCAAGGCGTTGATCGCGAGACAATCACAAAGGATTGAGTTTGCAGTTTGCCGATGAGTGTGCCGATGCTGACAGGTCTTGCTCCTGGCAGACGGGCAATGTACGCCAGCGAGATAAGCCGAGGCTCTTTCCTGTGGTCGTCTTTCTAGTCTGGCAATACTTCTTGCTCTTCGAGCGGAGCGCGCCTTCCCGTGGCGCTATACAGTGGCTTCGCACCCCGGAGCTCCCTTGCGACGATGGACTATGCAGACTCGAGATATGTTGAGAGATTAGGTCAGATGATTCTCCACCTGTCTGCCCTCAAGTATCTACAGGCGATGTCAGGGAGCTTCCGGCCCGTCCGGCGAGGAAGCGGTGCTCTGCGCCTCGCCCAAGGCGATGTGAGGTGCGTGGGTCGTCGTATTAGACAGAAGTGGTGCCGAATGCACTCACGAGCCGGAACGAGGCTATGCGCAGTCAACAATCGTGGCAGAAGAGGTGCAGTCGCAACTTATAGGTGCCTGAGAGAAGACAAACAAGTGGCTGATGGAGATGGCTACCTGATGAGGGTGGCAGATTGAGTGAACGAGGTGGGTTGGCGCGTCGCTGTTGGGTGAGGTGACAAGTGCGACAAATTGAGATGAGGTGCTTGAGGGCTGACTCATCCAAATTTGGCCCCTTTTGTGATCACGGGAGTGACTGAACTTCAGATGACTTGGCGGGATCGGAGCCGACGTCAGCCAGCGACGAAGGGAGAGGTCGAGGAGCGAAATCGCTTTTAGAAGTGCGGTATTGGAGCGGGGTAAATCAGGAGATGACAAGGGCGGCGGCGCGAGGGCGATCTAGTCCCTGATGATCGCGGTCGCAGCTGATGAGCTTCGGGTGATGTGTTTGCTCGCAGGTGAGACGCCAAGCATAGAGCGGCAACGAAGCGTTCGAGGTTCGTGGCTGTCGTCTAGACGAGGAGGGGCCTGGTTCGATCGGTCATCTCAGCAAGAGGTATCGGAACAGACGAACGGGCAAACAAGCGGGCACCGAATCACGAATGGTCGTCTGAGGGTGGAGTGAAGTGGGTGGAAATGCGAGACCACTACGGGACTCAGACACGCATCGCTTCCAACCCCGATCGTGCTAAAGATAGACAAGCCAGATGGAGGTCCAGCTATAGCTATAGCTAGCTGTGCTGCATTCAGTGAGTTGCTGGGCAAACCGGAAGAAATCACGATTGCAGCCTGTCTTCATCAGCGATCTGCCTGCCGCCCATCGCTGTAGCTGCACCCGCCAGCAGGGCTGCCGAACTGCCTCGATGCATGAATACCGGTATCGGCTGCGCGCTACTCTTCGATCGTGCTTCGCCGCGCGGAGCCAAGGCGGCCGCGGGAGAAAAGCGAGCAGCATAACGCATGTGCAGCCTAGCGCTTTGCCTTCATTTATGCTTGTCGGCAGTGCTGGGACGGAGGGCCATGCAGCCGTCTCTGCCGTGATCGGATGCCGCGCAATCCTAGGGCCAGTTAAGTCCCTCAAAACGCGTAGCGCGCCCACGCCTCCTCGGAGCAGCATAAACATGCGCTTAGGTGCCGCATCGTGGATCTGCTCATCATCGGCGCTGCACTTCAGCTGCAATCGGCCAACGATGCAGCACAAGCGGTGTTCTGTGTTTCGGTGCTTGCCACCAGCGCCCGGGCTGCACGCACCGTACAACCAGCACTGCACGTATAGTGCTCGCCCTGAAATATCAGGCCTCTCCACGGCGTGGATCGCTGTGTACACACAGCTTGGCTTTTCAAATTCAACCTCCAGATCGCGATCGGCCCATTCTCCGGCGTTTGACACATGCAAGGCTCATCATGGCTCAGCGTGAGTGCGAGTGTCACCCCTTGGCTCTTGTTTTATCATGGCAGCGTGATGCAGGCTACAACAACAGCTCCTCCTCATGTGCTTTTGTCATCGGCCTGGGAGAATCAGGCGATCCCACTCAACACACTTCGACTGACCAAAATCCAGCGCTGACCTTCAACCATATGACGAAGGACGTGGCACAAAACCTACTACTTCTATGATGAGTCAGTCGAGTGCCAGATGCCAAGCCACAGTCCTGAGTCGGCAAGACTTGGCTCCACACATGCCTCAGCATCGAGATACGTCTCCGCCGCAGCGCAGCGGCCAGATTCAAGATTTCACGATTGTTGTGAATGGCTGTGCCACTGACTGCATGCTGCATGCGCTTGCAATGGCGCGGGCCTCGGGCGGCTTCGGTGCTCTGCTCAGACTTCACACTCAAGACTTCAAAGGTGTAGTGTAAGGACGCATGATTATGATCTTATTTCAACGTCGCTTGCAATGCGTTCAAGCAATTGTGTAAAAGAAAACAGAAAGTATAAGAACGAGAAGGTCTATATTTGCTGTATACTCATCAAATTTGACTGAGACCAGCGGAACTTCGGATGCACTTTCCCGCGGCTTGCGCTCTACCTCGGGCTCGCTGCAGCTCGACAGCGATCGAGTAGACGAATATTCGTGAATATGGCACTCGTGACTAGCCCGCACAATCAGAAGAATTTGAATGAGAGGTCGCAAACGGTTCGCGGAGCCACCAAGGAGGCTACACCGTCACGGAGGATAGGCATAATCTTACGCACAATGATGAGTGCTTGAATTGTCATTTCGATGTCCGACCACAGCCTCGTTAGCGCTCGGCTGAGCAGCATTCCTCGACGACCAAGGGCTTGCCTCTCGGCTGGAAGCACCCGGTTCGTCATCCGAAGGGACGTCAAAGCAAGGCTACGTACACAAGAGGACCTCAGATCTCGCCCCTTCACGTCTCTTTTACGACGTTCCCAATCAGTCAGGCAAGTGGTGGCAGGACTGGATTGAGCCAGTACACAAGTCGCGCTCATACTCACGGGCCGTCTGCACATGCGCGATTCGTCATTGATTGATCTCCTGTTGGTGGAGGGGCTCCTGTGCTGAATCTGAATACCACGATGCAAATACTCGTGCATCACGTCTACAAGCACACACATCAAGTCGTGACTCGTAAGTGATACAGGGTGAGTGATGCATTCATTTAGACGTATGGAGCCCGTGCTGCGATGTGTCTAGGCCCGATCGACGGACGTCCGGCAAAAGCGGAGCTGCGTCATTCTTTTCACGACAAGGCCGCACGCGGAGCACCACGGTCCTTGCGCAGCAGCAGGTACAGTATGCGATCGAAGGACTGCTCGGCATCTCATCACTCACAACAGTCATGAGTGCTGGAGCTGCGCGTGTGTGGCTGAGACAGTGTTGCCGGTCGCGTCTCACGGACCTTTTCGGTCGGAACCGAGAATCAATCCGGCCTCCACACGACTCGAAGCTGCAATCCGTCGTCGGACAAGCTAAGCTTCGGCCTGGTCCAGAAGAAAGAGGTGGATGAGTCAAATGATAGTCAGTCAAAGTGTCTGGCGTCTGCGGCATTCAGAAATCGGCCGGAGGCCTTGGAACCTGACCCCTCACTCGGGGATTGCACGCACCACGAGGAGCATGCAGGGACTGCATCATGGCAACTACGTGCGCAGCCTCCTTCTCGTGCGATCTTCTGGCGTGGGTCAACCTGCTTGCTCTGCTTCTCTGCTGGCATAGCGTCGGACATCTCTTGCTTGAGCTTGACTCAAAATTTGACAACTTGGCGGGATGACAAGGGAGAATTTGTTTCGACTTACATCTCCGCATTCGTCCGTCTAAGCGAGGCTGCTAGCAGACGTCACGCAGCCCCACTGTAACCACCTGAGTGCACCGCTCTAGCTGCGACGGAGTGGTTGATACTGGAAGCGGGCAGTCAGCGCTTTCGTCACGCTTCGAGATGTCGAGTCGGCTAAGATGTGGAGCCGACCTCCGGCTGTATGTGCCTTCTTGGCCTTAGCTTAGGCGCAAAATGGCCAGCAGACTAA